GTACATGTGTAACAAATATTGGGGAAGAATGATCTGTAAAGCCAGACCCATTCATCAATCTTTGTTCTTCTGAATCATGAGCAATTTATCAAGGTACATAGGTTTTAGAGTAGTTCCCTTGGCAAGTGTACCAGTTTGCAGATGCTGCATGGATTGTAAATACAGAAATCAGAATACAGGTTGAGATAAATATCTGAAGTTTTTTAAAACACCAAGGTTGTGAGAAATAAGTGAAAGATTAAAGGATCTAAGGATAAACTCAGCCTGGTGTAATTTTGGGGTAATTAATGCCTTGTCTGAAAAGCATTTGTGCTTCTATCCATATCTTTAGGCCACTTATAATGCACACATAAATTTGCAAGTGGACCATTTTTCTTTCAGAAATGTCTGCAACGACCCCACTTGTCTCCCCAAAAGGAGTTTGTATATCACCTAGCAGTAGGGCAACCTTGAGATTTCAGTGGAAAGCTGTAAATGCAGACCCCAATGATGAGACACTCCAGGTTACCTGCTATCTGCAGAATGGAACAGCAATTGTGATGAAAGAACCCCAAGTGCAAAGCATTAAGTACTGCACCACACAGGGATCATGGGTGTTGGAAACGACTCTCACAGTGCAGGATGTAACTGCCAACATGTTCAGTTTCTGTAATTGCTCTGTGATGAAAAATGGTGAAGTGCTTGAAAAAAAGCCAAGCAGGGAGGCTATGTCCAAGGCAAATATTTGGACCCGCAATGACTCCAGTGAGTAAATGTTTGCATACACCATCCCATCTTGTTCTTATTTAGTAATTCAACATAACCACAGGAGGTCTTAGTGTTTTGCTCAGCTGGGTCAGTTGGATAGGTTGGGAGTGAAAAATTTGATTTATTCACTTGTTGCCCAATCATATCTCCGTAAAGATTAAGCACCTAGAAATTATTTGTGTGTGAATTCCTTTTCTGCCATCTTTAAGACTGTTTCTTCAGCATATATCCAACATTTCTTTGTTTCAAGGATTTCTTAATTGCTTAATGTACTTTTGATTAAAAACTGTGCTGCAATAATTCAGTAAATAGGGTATGTGAATGGGCCTGAAGTGACAACCTGCTTCCCTTATGAGACTTACATGTATTTTATTACAATTTACCTTTGGCAGTGCTTTTGCTGTCACAAGAGGACGTGTTGATTACCCCAGGCAAAGAGTTAGACATAAAATTTGACTTGAAGTGTGATGATGGGGGATGGTTTGAGGTCATCAAAATCTACGACGATGGACACAGGAAACATTTAGAGTTCAAGTTCGAAGGCAACAATCAAGGTCAGGAGCCTTTCATCCTGATAAGAGATGGACTGCTACCACTGCTTCGCTTTCCAGCCCTAAGATGCAGTGATGCTGGTCGCTACCTTATCATTTACTGGGCCAGCAGGAATTTCGTACGGGTTGAGACACAACTGGAACTGCGAGTACATGGTAAGAATCACACAAGGATTTTGTGATGGGCGGTTGGGGTGCCTTTTTCAAACTGATCGATAGCTATATGACAGGGGATATGTGGTAGCGAACCTTTGATTGATAGATCTAGATAGACCACAGTGTGCAATCATAATATTTACTCCCTACATGTATGTGTCTGTCAGTTTTGTGAAGTAGTGTTTGTACTTTATAGTGATCATGCAAGCAGCATCATAGCTAATTGAGGGGTTAGGGGAAGGGGTACGTGATGGCGGGAGGCGACAAGGCACTCACCTCCTCCTACAAAAATTCTTCACTCCCAGTCACCCCTGCAAGAAAATTTGCAAATGGAGACAAGAATAATAGTACCACTAAAATCTGAGGGTGCTTGCAAACAACTTGTCATTTGTTTTCTTGCTTTTTTTATTGTGGAAGAATTTCTGTAGTTTAACCTTGTTTTGTGATGGTTGACTCTGAGGGATTGTCTACTTCTGACAGTCCCCTACACACAATGGTATACCCAGGTGGGGAGTGCTAACTTTCCCTGCGCATGCGAGGTGGATCGACTTTTCCTGTGTGAGAATATACTTAATATATGCTTTTGAAAATTTACGAAATTATTTTACAAACTTTACACAACAGATTCATGTGACTCGAAGAAGCCACTGTTGCGATGTTCTGATTAAGTATCATTATGTCTGTTATGCAAAGGTTGACAGGTGTAACAAAAATGGGATACACCCCTCCCCTACCTTCTCATGGTATAGCCTCATAGCTACAGAGCTGGAAATTGGAACCATATTGCACAATTTCTCCTGTAGGAGTATGCAATACATATGCATGTTCCTGAAGTTAATTGTTTAAAACCTAGTCCAGTTGTAAATCTTGTTCCACTGTTCGGAAGTAAATTGTAGCAAGAGTGTGTGTTGTTGAATGTTCTTTTCCATGTTAACAGTGGCTTGCAAAAAAGGTATAACACTATTGATTTTAAAAGTCCCTCTGCAGTTCACCGTGCTCCATATTGGCTCTTTGAAATGCAAGATACATATGTAAATCGTGTTTTTGGTGATAAAATTTTTGGCTGTAAAGCCTACATTTCTGTAGAAAGAGGATTTTAGAGGGTCTGCTCAGGCCGTAAGATACTTACATTTATGCTGTATCTGCCGATTCAAAATGTGAACACAGCATAATAAAGTTTGATGAAATGAAAATGTTCAAAAGCTGTTGAACTTCTTTCCAACAATACAGCTAATGAGTCAACCTGCCCCAAGCCTACTGCCATCGCAGGAATGTTCACAGGAGGTAAGCCATTCATCAGGTTTAATACATGAGGGATTGAGTGCATTATAAAAACAACATGAGATATCATTGAATTGATGCATGGACTCCTTGTCCCTGTTGGCCTTGTAACAAGTGGGTTCAACTGCTGATTGGTTCCCATGCATGATGCACCTCCAATGTCAACGCAGAGATAGAATGATTGGGAACAGCGTACTGCCTTCTCTGGTAGTGGTACATGTATCTTGTCATATCTCTGTCTTGGATACTATCTGTTCATTGGCCCAGAACAATCACGTGACACGCGATATGTTGACCACTGTGGTGCGAGATATAACGTTTTGAACACCCGAAGGATGCATGTGCCCTGAGGTGAAGCCGAGGGTGCTATGCGTCTGTCTTCAAGAATTTATCCAACGAATCAGTGGTTTTGCTCGTATAACAGACTTGTTCCCATCACTGCAGTGTATAAGGTTAACACAGGGTCTGTTAACCAGACTATGTGACGTGTGAACTTGTACTCTGATACTCACTCCTCGGGCATGCATAGCACCTTGGCTTTGCCTCAGGGCACTATGCCTCCCTCGGGTGTTCAAAACGTTATATCCCACATCACAGCAGTCAACAGTCGTTAATTGATGAATGCCATACAGTGAATAACTTGTCAGCAAAGCACAGATTTCACAGTCATCTTGGTAACAGAGTTTTGTCATTTAATTATTCTGCATGGAGCCCAAAGGATTTTCTTAAAGTACATGTACCACTTCACTGAGGACAAATATAAAAAGACTTGGCTACTCCAGTGAACACCACTCAAATTGAAATCATGTGTATGCCACAAGACATACATGTATACATCAACCTTTCCTTTTGCTTTCTTGCAGCAGGTGAGAGTCTGACTAAGAGTTCCAAGTCACATGACAGGCCTACTTGTAATCCTGAAAGTGGTACCTGTAACAAAGTGGCTATCGGAATTGGATTCCCCATCATGTTTGCTTTGGGTGGGGCATGTGTGTATATATTTATGGCTTGCTGGAATCGTCACCACAAAAAGAAAATGAGGTAAAGAAAAGATTTTTACCCACAGGTTTACATTTGAAGGTTGTATTATTTCTTGTCTCAAAACACAGGTTTTTGTGATAAGTGTGAAGCAGTAAGTTTGAGAGTCATTTAGAGAACATTCTTCCAAACCCCTTAATTTTTAGATCTCCTTAACAATTGAAGGAAGAGTTGACCATTTGCAGCCATTCTGAAAAGATTTAACCAAGTTACCGGTATGTCATCCAGCATGCTACGTTTTGAAGGCATTTTTAAGTTACACATTTTTGGAAATTTTTTTGAGAATCCAATGAGAGTACCCATTTAGCACCTTAAGTGTATCCCTCTTTTATCAGCAAGTTGTTAATTCCTACCAGCAAAAGAGGTATTCAACCTGGCCTGCATTCTAATTTGTAGCTGGTTATAGGCATGATACAAACTTATGATTTGAGTTACGAGACCTAAGTGTAGCAACATCATGCATTTTCTTAAGAACATTGCATTCACAGAGTTAATTGTAATTTTTTTTCAGAGTAAACAAAGAGGAACCTGAGAAGTGTGATACATTGTTGAGACAGCAAGGGCCTAATCCTGACTCGGAGCAAACTTAACACATCGCTGCCAATATAAACTTGGCTGCTTGAGTAGCGAGATGCCTTTTTGTGGAAGGTCTTCACCACCACACACAAGTGCCCTCACAGTTTCCCAGCAGCTGATCCATCACCTCATACTACAAGGGAATATGATCATGCTCTTTCATCACAAATGTTGGCATATATAGATCATCCCATTCAGGATAAGAAACTTTCCTCTCTGACCAGTTGTACTATTAAACAACTTCAAAAGAGTAGGATTTTTACTTATCTAGGTGTGGACCCAGGGAAGATGGACCAAAATGTTTCAGATAAAAGAAGTCTGAAGTTGCTTAATTGTGCTTTAGTAAACACATATTTTGGTGACATGTTTCTGAAATTTGAGACCCCTTTAGGTTGAATGCAATTATAAAATGCCTATGGAGGTAGAGCGTGGCCTTATCTTTATTTGCAATGATCAATTTGAATGTTACCATTTGTTTTAATATTTTATCTTTCCATGTAGAATTTATTGTTTGATAATGTTAAGAACTTGAGAACATTTTTGAAGATTTTGCATGGTGAAAAGTAGAATCTTTTTTGATCAATACATTTGAAAAGATTAATGAAGATCTACAATCATCATGGGTTGTATGAGTTACTATTTGTGTGTCTACATTGTTGCAGTATAATTGTATACTATTGAGATACACGTGTATTACAGTGGCTGTACTGGCAAAGAAAATATGAATGATATGGAAATTATGAAAAAGCCTAGGGCCTAATTCATAATTGTAAATTTTGCTGTATATTTAAATTTTGCTGGAAATATTTAGGAACTCAGTTTGTTATTGTATATACTGCACTGTGACAAAAATGCACTTTTCTTTATTCATACTGTTGCGCTCCCGCAAATCTTGGAATTCTAGCGCCCCCTAGTTTTACTCGTTCTCGGTCCTTGCATTTCTCAGGGTCTTTATTTAGCTCAGCTATGCATTATGGACATATATTTTGTATTAGGTTATTCATGCTGTACTCTGGCGTGATCGCGTGTTCCGATGCGAGAGCGGTACGAATTAGCCCAGGATGCTAGTGAGAGTCGTAGCGGCCCGTCACCGGTACGTCCGAATCGATTTGCCGGCGAGACACCCGTACCCACTCCGTCTGACTTGCATTTCCAATGGTCCTGCCAAACCATAGTTTTGTTACACTCATATACAACTTCGCCTCTCTATAACCTTGCCTTTTGTGTGTTGTATTATGTCAAGCTACACCTTCTTCAATCCCACATTGAACTTTGATGAAGAGAAGTGAGAGCAATAAACCAACCATACAGTTTGACTATCACCCAAACCCCTTGTTTCACGTCCACCCTTTAATAAATTGTTGACCCCAAATATCACATCCCGTAGACACTAATGAAGTCCATGCTACCATCGACTTGATATTTAGGGAACGCAACAATACCAAGTTGGCAAGAATCATTTCTGTGTGTTTGACAAGAAGAAAGTGGAAATTTGCCCATTGTAATGTGTGCCTGACATTTTACACACAAGTTAACGGCATGTACATGTACACATGTACATACATGTACTCAGTGCTTTGGATTGTTGCGGTGACTTCATTTGCATACGTGCGACGCGCACTTTTAGCCTATCAGCATACGCGTGCTGTTTTCAGCCGGCCCTGCCGAAAATCTGTATCACATAAGTGCTCTGTTCGCGTCCAGAACAGCCCTGTGGGAAGAAGCGACCCAGCACCAGAAAGAAGCAGGAAGACGATGACAAACTAGAAAGAAGGGTTATGATGATAGGAAAACAGACGAAAAGCAGAAGTAAGCCAAAGTAGAGACACGAAGAGGCCTGAAGAACTGAGGTTTATAATAACCATAATAACTGTACATTTATATATAACGGGTTTGCCCTTACCCAACGTATATTGCTTCTGATTTATTTACATCCAAAATAACTGTACAGTTATTACAGTGAAGCGAACATGGCCACGTACAGACAGTAGACTTAGAAAAAACGAAGGGGCGTATGCAGGTTGAATTTACGGTTATTCACCCCACCTGACAAAGAATAATCACTTGAACTTGAAGGATGATTTTGGATGTAAATAAATCAGAAGCATAATTGAGAATTCTAGAAATAGTTCTCCACTGCCTTATGAATTGTCTGTCTTTGTCTTCGGGATTCCGCGTCAGAGTAACGGTTTAGGATCAGGCTATTATTCCAACAGCCCAATTCCAACTTTTCCCTTGCGTTGTGCGCCAAGCGTCCTTCCCCTCTCTTCCCCTTTTCCCATCCATGAAGTCTACCGGGCTTTGATAATTTATAAAGACCTGTCCTCTTAAAAGTGTGTGGCGACATCATCACTGCTGTGGGTGAAACAGGTAGCTCAGCAAGCGTCACCAATTCCTCCAGGTTGAACCTGGCGGGTTAATTTTAGGGATTTGTTAGGCCCAGTGCAGGTCAAGTCCCGTATACCCGTTACATTACATGAAAATTATAACTGAGAACAAAGCTTATATAGATGGATAATTTGGTATTTTTTTCTGATACATATCTAAATCTGTGGCGTATCAAGCTTTTGGTGTCGGGTGGAAAGGGCAAATTCAAAAGTGAATGTGGCTTCGACATTCAACATGAAAAAAAGTTTCAAAAGCTTTACTCATGGTCCCCACGTGACATCCATGCTTTTATTTCATGGTGTTGCCTACTTACGGTTTTGGGGCTAATGTTTGATAAAATTTGATAAATCAAACTTTTTTATTAATATTTGATTTGAAAAACGAGTCGAGGGGGACAAGTTGCTCCTAATTTCCCCGGCCATACGCCACTGGTCTAAATGGCCGAGACCAACTACCGGTAGCATTTCAAAAGGATTTTGTTGAGTCAAACAATAAAAAGAAAGACCACCTACTGAATGCTGAATTTACATCATGGCATGCATGCTTTTTGTGTTTTGTTGGCTTTGGTTACCAAGGCTTGCAAGGTACACATACGGGTCATGTTTTGGGGTCATGGTTATAACCCCTAGTGGATGCAGTTTTATACCCCTATCTAACTAGTGAGAATCACAACACAATCAGCACATTCTAATGTATATTAATATGCTTTTTGTGTCTAGAAACCCGTTTCATACATTTGCAGCTCTAAAAACAGTATTCTAAACAGCGTTGGTAAGAGTTCCATCATGTTCCATATAAATGTACGTGTACATCAACCATTTTCCCTTACAGTGGGTTACTAGCCATGTGGAAGTGACTTGTTCTCAGTAAAAAGTCAAATATAGCGAAGAAAATTTAGAGCATTTACTTGGAAAGTACAATTTTTCAGGCTAGTCTATAAGCTGTCACTTTGACCAGATTATCCATCTGCTACTTGTGGGAATGATCAGCCTTCTGCACTTAATGTTTGAATATAAAATGGAAGTGGGCTTCACGAACAGAACAGGGAACAAAAGCAAAAAACTGGACTATCATTCCTTCCTCCACCATTAACTATGTTTACTTGAGAATTATGGACAACACTTGATGCCCCTATGCACAAACCTATGAGACTTGTCTGAAAAAAAAACACGTACACGTAAATATTTGCTAAGCTAAATTTCACTTTTTATACTGTAGGCCTACTAAATACACTATTTCCATTTTAAGACTTAGTGTTTACGTGTCTTATTGTCTTCTTGTCTAATTTGTGTCATAATTATTGTATTGTTTATAATAATGTGTATTATTCCTAATTGAGATCCATATCCGACAAGCACTGCTTCTGTGGAACCCCATCCACAACCATTTTCCTTCCTGTTATATCTTTACTGCATTATAATCAAGTAGAAACAAAGAATGAACGAATGAATGATTGTAAAGGGAAAGTGTTGCCCTAAATGGAACTCTTTCCCTTAAGGCCGGGCTTGAACTAGCATGACTGGAAATCAAACATGAAAGCAATGAAATTGAAAGGGCACTTACATGTAATAATATCATCATTATACGTCAAATTATGGGTCTAATATGGTAAGCATGCATGGTATCAAGGGGGCTCATACAAAAGCAACAAGGGATTTTATTTTTGAGCAAACTTGAAATTTCACACGAAGTATGTAGCCGGAGCAAACTTTAAAAGTCACAGAAGTGTGTCGAACTTGACTATGGCTGGACGTACGTAGAGGCGCTATACGATCTTTGGTACTGACGCAAACTGCAACTGAGCCAAAGAGTTTGAGAATCGGAGACGTGATACTACGGAAGCGAACATGACTGGAAAAAAATTGGGCCTGCAGGCGATTTCTCCCGGACGGA